CGAACTGAGAATTCCCCTTAATTTTTAACACGACCACCATCCACCTACCCATGAATTAAGGAACGAAAAGAGTGCTCCTAGCAAAAACCCCACCTTAACTGGAGAATGATTTGATGAATCATGAACAGTTTTCCCCTGATATTTATCATTACAAAATAATACGAGGTGCATTTTCAAAATAGAAATGAACCAACATGAGAGGTACCAAGCCTTTTGTTTTTCTTTGAAAAAGAAAAAGAAAAACTACCTATCAGATTTCAGCAATGGCATCTTGACAAGTGAGCCAAAACGCTCTACTAATTCGCCGTCAAACTCCCGGCGACTCTGAAAATTTAGACAATAAAAATTCATAAAAACGAAACAAATTTAGGTGCATCAATATAGCATGATATAGAAAATTTAAATACACAAATCATGTCATACCTTGCCCTCATAAAGGTGATAGAACATTAGCAGCACATAGCCAGCATTTGGAGATTCCTTGTCAAGGTTTCCCTTCAGAAATAACAAGTATTAGGAACATGATAATAAGTGGAGGTGTCTGATGATATTTTTGAACAAAAGGAAAATGTACAAATAAAATACATACCGGATGATTAGCACGTTGAAGCACCCGAAACATGAAAACCGCTAATGCATCAAGCGAAAACGGATTTGAATCAGTTCCTGCACATTTAAAGACCACAATGTAAAAGCATACAATGCCCTGAACATCATTTCCTACACAAATAAAGGAACATTCTATTCATTATTTGACAACAGTAGTGATCCTAAAGTGAACTGGAACCCAACAAATAACAGCCTCAGGAGCAACAGAACCTTCAGAATCAGGAACAACTGGAACTGCAGAGGCCCTAGTGCTGTGGCACATGTCTTCTATCTGGAAAAGAAAAAAAAAACAGACGAGGAAAATAATGGTGTAAATCTGACATGCACAAAACAGTAAAGTTTGGTTTGAGAAACTTATAAATAGAAAACATAAAAATTCCCGACATTTTGTTTTAATTTACCCAAAAAAAATTGTTCAAATGTAGAGAATTTTCCTAATGCGTCCTCTCAATTGAGTTCTTGGCCTTAAATTCACAAGGACACTTTGCCAGGAAACTGTAGCCATCAATCTTGTTGGTCAAGATGTTCTTTCAGTTCCTTTAGGGTACCATTTTAGTTTCTGGATCACTGAACCATTTAGGGTTTTAAAAGCAATCCACTTTTACCAATTAGTCCTTTAGAAAGTAACTAGCATTGGGAAATAAAGTCTTTGGTTAGGACCTTTGGCAACAAAGCAGCCTCCACATGGGCTAGATGGAACACAATTTCTGGATAGTCACGAATGGATTGTAGAACAATCCTTGAAGTGAATCATGGCAAAGTGAATGCCAATAGAAGATTACCTGTCTCCATACTTCTTCATTTGGTGCATTCTTGTCGGCAAGCATTATTGAATATGGTTTTCTCCTGCGCTCATCAGCAACCTTCTGCCAATATCTTCCTGCTTATAAACAATAAACAAAAAACCTTACTGTTAACTAGTCAAATAATCTTTTAGCATACTAATTCACAAATCATTCTGACAATAAGATACCAACGGATTTATTCTGAAAAGAAAGAATTATCTAAATAAAGGCAAGGATAATATACTGAGAAAATGGGTGGGCAATTCAGAGATCTTTCCAAGTACTCTGCAAGGTTTTCCATCCCCAATGTGGGACAATACTCTCAACACATGTAATAAAAATATGGATCATGCAATTGAGAAGAAAGCCTCAAATTCTAAGATATTTTGAAATTTTCACGAAGCCCAATCATAATCTATATGTCAATAATTTGCATAAATCCATATGTTTTGCTATTACAATGTACAACTCTTAGAAGAAGTTTCGAATTATAGCAGTAATTGGAAGCGAACTTTCAGGCTAGAACTGTGGTTATATATCACTGACATTATTGCCAGACTTTCATTCTAGCAATCTTCCAAAAAATTTCAACTAGTAGTATGAATGATTCATACATAGAGACAGACAAACACACTAATCAACACCATGATCAAGGATAACTTTGACATGAAGCCATGATGACCTGATCAGATTCATACATACAAACATACCAACACTGGTCAGCATGATGATGAAGGATATCTATGATATGAATGCATAATGACATGATGAAGAAACTGCTAGAATCCCCCAACTTCAAAAATGCTAATTTCAAGTGCTTAGCCAGCAGTAATTAACCTACAACATTTATTCGAGAATACAATTACCTTTGATAAGGTCACCCATCAGGCTTTGAATTGGCCGATCGTCTCCCATTCCTCCTGGGGCATTTAGTAGTTCCTTGCATAGTGCTGACTTAGCAGAACCAGGTAGTCCTGAAAATGCCAATCCAAGAAAGGAATATCAAGACATGCGTAGACCAAATACCCCATCAAAAGATATTCAAATTCATAAGGGCACACTGCGAAAGAAACATACTGAAATGGTGGGTGCAACGTAAAACCATGGGAGACAATGGCTTCCCAAGAAATGAAAAAAGTTCCATGATGTATAAGTAGAGAAATATCTATTCAATGTTGTGTATTGCATTCATGAGAACTTCTCAATGTTGTAATTAAAAACCACAACTCAGTCGATTTGGCAACATTTTTACCAGGAAAGAAGACAATCAGACCCTCAGCCTTTGGAATGGTGTCCCTGGCTGAGGCACGGGGGCTTGATGGTGCAACCTCACGGTCCCTCTCAAGATCACCTTCTTCCTCTCTTCCTCCCTCAACTATGGCCAAGAAATCTTCAGTCCTTACTAAGTTTCCAGCAGATCCTATGAGAGCCTGATTTTGTGGACTGCGTTTTGCATACTGTTCAAGAAAAGGCTCAGCCTCACTGAGGTACACTGATGACGACAGCTGTTTGTTTCCACATTTCCTTCGTATATACACAGCCCTGAACATGAAGCAACAAAATTCTCGCAACTGAGCAGAACAAAATCACAAAGTCATAAGCATCAAGAAAAGAACAGAGTAATGTTATATAAAATAACCATTCATCAAGCATCTTGCTGAGTTCCCTCTGCTTTGCTGCTGAAGTTCCCCATACTTTCATTTGCCTATAATGACAGTGGCAATGGAAAAATAGTTCATAAAACAAGATTCCGTCGAACTAGCAAGGAAATATTGCAGTTTTTAGCAATAAGGTAAGCACTACGGGGTCTCTTTCATTGCAATAAATAACCACTATACTAGTTTACAACATCAGTTTTCTCATATACCCATAGATTTAAAAAAATGTAGCTCCAATTATGTAACATCTTTTTGCGACCAAACAAGATCTTACGTAACATCTTTTTCGACCAAAAAAAGGATCTTACGTAACATTTTTAAACCATGCTGTGAACCATCATGTTCATGAATTGGCAGGTGCTAGATTTTGTCATTCAATAACTTTGAAGACTTAATATAAATAAACAATGGTGACTAGTGGCTAAGTTTATAGAGAAATTACAACAGTAGAAGTCCTATCAGGAAGGAAAAAAGTGGGTTCGGAGTGGAACATGAAGATTTTAGTCCATAGGTCTAGAAAGAGGGGTCTTTTTTTGGGTCATGCTGTCTGCAATAAATTACCAAAAATATTATGTTCTGATGAAAGACCACATAGGAAAAAGGCAGATCTGTATTGCTTCTGGACAAGAAGCTCCAAGGAGCTGTTTCTAATCAATAAATTTTTTGGTCAAAATATCAGAACTGACGACGGGTTTTTGGAGTTAACTCATCCTCACAGGGTCATGAGCATTTGTCCTGGCCATCGAAAAATGTGAATCTGGCAGGTTAGTTTCCACTTTCTGGGATATTCAATTTGATTAAGTCGTAGTATATAAGTTCCAAAGACTATACTTGCATTTGTCCCCTATACATGTCCAGTTGATCATTTTCCAAAGACATGACAGTATACAGTACCCCAATCCCCAGATGCCTCATTTCAAGTTTCGGACACAACATGTAAGATAAGCTCAGAAACTCACCTCAAGTAATAGGCTTTATAAGCAGCTGGACCTTCTTTAAAAAGAATTGACAAACCATTACGAATCAAAAAGGTTCGCAGCTGCAGTGAAAGATAAGCACAATCAACGTTTAATTCTTTGAACCCTCATAAGAAGATTCCAACATTGAATGGTACATACTGGGCCAACTTTCTAATTTTATACTTTATATCCACCCATGTTTACATTTTTAATCCCACTTTGAAGACAAAACGGGTAATAGCCTACCATATAACATATTAAAATATAGCTGGTCTACTAGTATTTTCCTTCAATTTAATAGTCACTTCCTATAAAGAAACTATTTGCCCTTCGCTCATTCATTCACCATACTGAATTTCCATAAGAATTCATTATTGTCTGTAGTATATTGTAGCTGCAATATATTCTACTTTAACCTTGCTAATACAGAAGATATAATCTTTAACTTGCTACTATTATAATGCACCACTTTCATAGCCATTTTCAAACAATAGAAAGGTACATTTATCAGCCATATATGTTTCACGAGTATTCTTCTAAGCAAGAATAATATTTGACATGTAAAAGAGAACAACCAACATACTAATTTTGCTTCCTTGATAGATTTTTATGAGTAAATACCTTCCTTTTATGATATGAATGCATACCTTATATGTAAGAAATTTCAATTTTATCATTAAGTTTGCATCTTCATCAGCCAATCCATATTTTCCGGGCATATCACTGCTAACATCTTCCACAATGCTACTTTTGTCTTTTGCTATCTCAGCAGCTCTCTCCTTGCTTGCCTTGAATAAATTAATGTCAACAAAAAAACCTACATAAATATGAAGTGCATCAGTTACTAAAATAAACAACTCAATGAAGTAAAAACAATATAAGGCAAACATATTCTTCAGGTTTGAAGATGTTAAGGCATGACATAAGTGTGCATTATTCATTAGAGAGACGCATGCATTGTAGACAGGCTCATAGAATGTTATACGGGCTTATAGTTCCAGTGGTAAAATACTTAAAACCAAACATGCGATGAGAGTTTGATTCTCGCCCTCCCCCTCAAACCAGGCCTGATGCCTCATTTGTACCAAATTGAAGGTTAATACAATGATTGAAAGGCTAACGAAAATGAGATTCATCATCCCCATGCCCAACGGGCATACTTTACATGACCATTATTGAGGATATAACCAAAAATGTGCATTTCCCAGAACAGAAATAACAAGTAACTGGTTATAAGCATGATGTTTTAAATTTCATTCAGCAAAGTTTTTTTTGTTTTTTTTTACCTCGATATAAAGGCCACAATCCTGGCTTTGACCTGAAATACACCAAACCTTTTACTTTAATGAATTCACTACATGTAAAACAAAATAAGAATAAAAAACTCAAAATAAGATAATAGAGATTAGAGAGTGAATTTGAAGTTTGAACAATACCTCATCTCTTTCTGGTAACGTCGAAATGCGGAATCACTATGGACATGGACGACCATTTTATAGAAAAGGTTGTCACTTGATATGGAATCAATTTTGTGGTAGTTATAGTAACATTTAAAGGCAGCAGGATAACGTTTCTCTTTCATCAAACGAACCATTTCCTGATTCAACAAATAAAATATTAGTCCGAACCAAATCTAACACTTTGAATAAAAAAAGGCCCAAAAACATGACAGAACCATTGAACTTCCACATGCAATTCATAATTTGAATGAGTCAAGGAGAAAATTATTTGCAAAAGAACGATACGCAGTGAGAACGTCTACACAGTGGAAACATGAATGAAGCCAATATGTATTAAACCATTACAAAAACATGTAGACCAATCGATGCATGCATTTAAGATGGATTGGATTTCAGAAGTTATATTTCATGGAAGGTAAAGTATTACGAATATAGTTTGAAATGAAAACTAGACTGACCTGCAATTTGGTGGTAGAAAAATCAGCAGCATGAGATTGTAAAAGTTTTGATAGCACCAATTTATTATCTGCATTTCTGGAATGGGCATCACCAGCTCCAGTTCCAAGCCAGTCTGAATGGTCAGGGCAAAAAGAGGAGCCAACACCCTCAAGAATCGCTTTTATTTGCTGCATGAGGATTTTCAGAAAGATTAAAAAAAAAAAAAGTCTTGGATCTGCCTTCCACTTTTGTTGATAAAGTCCGAGCACAAGAAATCTCATATTCGAAGAATTAACCATTACCTGCTTTTCACTCGACCTATTTGCAGCACAAAGCTCCCTTACGCTAGGTCCCAAATCAAGACCAACTGAAACATAAATCAAACACGGTAAGATTTTAAATTGTAAAAAGAAGGATTCAAAATTGACTAGCATTCTCATATATCAATAAAATTATCTTCAAGAGGAGGGTAATGGGAAGAACTTCAGCTTTAAATGGATTTTCAAGTCCAGGCACGCATGAATATATGTCATCAGTTCAAAACTAAATTTTTTTTTTGCAGTATCAAATGAAAAGGAAATATTTGTTCATGACTCTACTATATTAGTGAAAACAGTTTAACATGCAAGCACAATTACACAGCCAGAGAAAAAGGAAAGGATCTCAACTATTTTATTTTAAGAGATCCATCAGTGGATATCTTGATCAATTTCTTTCTCGTAGTTCCAATATATCCATTCTTTCTCAACTTTTCTCATATCAGTTTTCTTTTATAAGTCCCAAAAATACTTTCAATGTCACACAAGCAGATCAAAATTTTGAAATATGTTATCTTAGATGTTTATAACCAACAGTAAATTGTTGCCCGTGTTTATGACTCTCTTTATTCCTCATGCTTCTAATAAGGCAATTTTTGAATAAATACAAGGAACTGTTGCTGTGTTTTTTTTTTTTGTTTTTTATTTATTTTACTTATTCAGTTCAAGAGATAAATCCAAGAAGGGACTAGGCAGAACTTCATATCAAATAGTTTGATTTATGCTTACATTATCACTACAACATTCTAAAACACAACTTAGATATGCTTACCCAAAACAATCTCAACCACAATTTTTAAAGCAGTAGATAATGAAGAATGCATCAATGGGTGAGATAAACATTAGGTCTTCTCTCCCCTGAATCAAACCCGAAGTGTTGACTCTACCATGATAGGTGGAACCTATAAATTGCAAATTTAGTTTTGGAACCGATGGTTTAGTCCAAATCTAATGAACAGATACCCATATGTAATTTTAAGCAGTATCAATAAGCCACAAGGGAGTTTCTAAGAGGGTGCCTTCTTGAAGAAAAGAGCGGACCACATCTGGAGACAATCCTACAATGTGCTCCAATGATAAGGACTGTTTACTTTTTATTTACTTATTCAAGGATATCCTTGCAAAAATATCAGCCAAATTGAAAACAACTTTGACATTTAATTGTGATGAAATAAATAGATGAACATAATGTTATAAACACTGAAATAATTATGGTGATAATCCAACAGTTAAAAGACTTGGATTTGGCTGATATTGGTGGGGGGAGACATTTTATGGAGTTGCAGTGTGTGCTGTAATTTGAAGAATATAGTGGGAAAGGATGGAGGTATTGTGGGATAAATTCCGGTTTTGGACATCACTGCGGGCCTTATTTTCTTCAGAGTTTTGGGCCATACCTTTTTTCATTTTCTATTTTTGCAGATTGAGGGCTGTTCTTCTCTCAATTTCAGTGTTGAGTATATGAGTATAACACATCAATACTGTATGGTCGTTAGGAATTAGCGACTGTTTATACCTTTTTGTTACTGTACATGGGCAGCACGACCGCTGTGAATGTACCTTTTAATGTGGTTCAATAAAACTTTGGTTATATAGTCAACCTATCATTTTACCTTCTGATAGCAGATGAAATTTCATTTAGGCACAAGAAATGGAAAGGGAGACAAGAGTTAAATAAATTTCAAGAGTGAACATTGTGGCTGAATCAAAATAAGACCAGACCCAAAAGACCAAAAAAAAAATTCCATGTTGATGTGATCTATAATCCAAAAAAAAAGACGAAAGAATGAAACATCGTACCTCCATCCATTGGTGGAGGAGGGAAATCGTTCAGGACTTTCTCCATGTGTTTTGAGCTCTCCTGGCTTACAATACGAGCAACAATACCCTCTAAGATTTCACCCTGTTCCTTTACATGATCTTTTGAACCTGCATATAGAATTACAATTGAGTTGGAAACCTCACAAATACCTCTTGAAACCAGTGTCCAACTAAGGCTAACACGAAAATATAAACACCAAAGAAAATGGCAGATATGATTAATTGAACACCTTTGTGATGCACAACCATCCATTGAGTAAACCATGAAAAAATGTGCCACGTTCTTTATTGAGTTTATTTTAATTTTAGCAGCAGTATCTATGTTCCCAATAATTTTTTTAAAAGCCTCTTTGCCAAATGACCTGCAATAAGCTTTAAAGGCTAAGAATACATGGATATATGTGTTTCAAAGGTGTAAGTGTAGGATTCCGAAGGGCCAAACGTAGATGGTCTTTCAAGAGGCTGATCGATCAACAGTCCTTTTACCATGTATTGGTACAAATTTCAGACTCGGCTTTTCTTAGGTCATTTGAATTCAATAAACTCCCATGAGTTACAATTTTCTATCCCTTCCCTCCATGTTCCATATCATTTGTGGCGTAGTTATTGGATTGATCATGTCCAAAAAATAAGTACTGTGATGTATTATAATATAGACACAATGTTTTTGGTTCTATCACTTCGTGTCTTTATTCTTCCCCTTTATCCTACAAAGGTTGTTTAACAGGCAACATTTCTGAAAGTTAAGCTGATAAGCATCACTAGTAGCGAATGTCAAAATTAAAGCAAATGCACTGAAGAGTTTACCAGGTATAGATATATCTGCAATTTCATTAAGAGCTATGCATACAGGTGTTGCAGTTCCTTCTTCGCAGAGAGCATCAAAGGCAGCAAAAAATGATGTCACTGCTTTCCTTTAGTTACAAACAAAGGAAAAGATTAAACAGGACCCAATCAATTTTGATATTATGATCATATCATTCATGTATAATGAAAATGGAAATAGTTGGTCGTCACCTTGTTGAGAACAGCCATACATGATTTGTCGGTAGACGCCATTTTCTACAGAAAGCAATTATCTCAGGGGTTGCGTAGAACTTTGGCTTCCCATTGCCCAAATCTGTGACTGCTGTCACTACAACTGTTTAATAAATAAAAAAACACATAAGCGGAAGTTCTTTCTAAGAATGTTGCATTGCAAGAACTAAGGGTGAAAAATATATATATATATATATATATATATATATGCAACAAGAGATGCTTTATGGAAATAAAACACAAAAAGATACAGTAGTGGGCTGCAAAAGGGAAATTGCAATAACCCATTATAAAAATAAATAATAAAAAAACCAGCATCTAAGTGTCAAACACCAAATATAAGTAAAGTTGTCTACAAAGAAAAAAAGTGATAACAATGACAATGATGAAGATGATGATAAAGGACAATTTATACTGAGTGAAAATCTCAAATAAAATTCAGAAAAATTATCTCCTCTAGCCCCAAAATAAAGGTACATCTGTAAACCAGTTCGAATTATACAATGCAGTGGCAGAGCCAGGTGAGGGCAACTCTATGCTGACTTTACAGAGTACTTTAACAAAATCCACAGGAAAATGAATTAATTAAATGACTCAATACCGAAATCTTCCTTAGGGCGCTGTCCATGGTCTCCTAGAACAGCAGTTACGAGTTCCATTGATATGCACACACGGTTCCTCTGAAAGAGTGACCAACAAAAAAGTTAGATTCCAGAAGGCAGGGGAAGGGAGCAAGAAGAGTTATTTAAGCATAATAATTGGTGACTAAGTTATTAAATAAACAGAATTTGAGAATAAAATTTGTTTAGGAACTATCAAAAGCAGCCTTAGATTTGACTAAACAAAGCACATAGAGGAAGAATTTGATAGCTTTTAATGGAGTTCAGTTTTCTTTATGATCAGGTTTCTCATGTGAATAGCACCTCAAGAAAATCATTGAACTCTGCTTGCATTTTTGCTGCTTCACGTCCCCATGCCTCCTGAAACATCCGTCCAAGAACAAATACACCTACAGCAGTATATCTGTAGTAGAAATAGAATATCAGCAAACCATGATGAACCTATATAAATGAGTACAGAGCATGCAAGAAATACAAATATAATGGATACAACCAGCACATTAAATTTCAAGAACATGTTTCCATCAATCAGAAATGTTCTCCCAAAGTGGTTCCAGAACTTGCCCGGTAATCAGATTAATTGAAGTATACCTCCAATTTGAGGACATTAAGCAATAGAACAATTATATTTAAGAAATTCATGTCCCTTTTGCTGTGCACTGCACATATCATTCCCACTTCTTCAAGATATGTTAGAAAATCAGCTACTAATAACAAGCAACAAGGATGGGCTACACAAGTGTACCACTCATAATCCCAAGATGTTTAACATGCAAGGCCATTCATTGATCTTTTCTTTCATTGATTGGATTGAGCAATTAATACAAAATAAAAAGGATGGAAGAAATGGTCGTCTCGTGCGTACATATTCCCAAAGCTGTTTTTGGCATATGCCCCACCCTTATTACCAGCGTACATAAAAAGAGACCCAGAGTGTTTAAGTGAAACCTGCAAAAAGGATCATTATCAATAAATTCTTCAGATTTAAAACAAAAACAAAAAAAACAAAATGGCATAAAAATTAGGATGAATCAACTAGAAAACTGTAAATTTAAGCAAGCATAAGCAACTGGAGGCTCCCCAACACTTCGGAGAGAACAAGAATTATTGTTAACATGAAAGCCAACAGATGAAATTTCCATGCAAAAAGAAAGAAATGCAATTTTTGCAAGTAAAACAAAGAATTCATAAAAACCCCATACCTCCAAGGTAGCCAAGCCATTAGATACCATCTCTATCATCCTTGTCCTTATCTGAACAAAGACAGATTAACCAGACAAGCATTCAGGTATGATCCAAGAAAAAATAGATAGTCTAATCATTATGTAAAGGCAAGTAGCAATCGAATCACATCATTCTATAAAAAGATGACCAGATTGCCGTTTGGTTCTCTTGGCTATATGAGATGATCCAATGAACACGACATCATTGTTCGAGATAGCCTTAAGTATGGTTATTCCCATACAAGAGACGCAAATGGGATGGAAAGTTTGAAATTGGAAAAGCATGAAGACAAAAATGTACCTCCTGATCTGACTTCTCATTTTCAAATTTGGGATAGAAAGTAGCGCGCACTTGCACCTGAGCATACGTGGAGTTGTCCACAGTAAAATTTTCCAACAGGTCACCCTTGAACAACTTACTTAAACCAACACTGGTTTTTTTATCTGCTGCTTGTCCAGCTCCATTGCCCAGGATTCCAACTGTACTTTTATCAACAGGTGCTTCAACTTCAATTGTCTTAGCTCCACTGACTGTTGAATATGATTTAGGAATCCAGATTCCTTTCTGACCTTGGACTGGACCCTGATTTACCGACTGGACCTTCCCAAACTGTATGGGTTTAACTGAAGCATTGGTCTGCCCACTGCTTCCACTGAGACTCAATCCGCCAACTCTGTTAGTGGCAACTTCCACAGTAGCTGCTGATGAATCCCCTGTGGAGGTTGGTTGGCTGTCAGTCTTTTGTTTTTCTGTCCACTTTTGTTCTCTAAGCCCGCCCCTTCTCTGGAAAGTAGACCAAACATCTCAATCATACTATTAGCTCTAGGAAAGCTGAACTAAAGTAAACAAAATTACAGTATCCTCTCTCTTAATCACATTGCAGTAAGCCTGTGAAGCTCTTGGCTTCATCAGGAGCAATGTGAATTTAACTTCTAAATTGCAACCAGACCACATTAAGATATGTACACAATCATCCATGTGCACCACACAAAGACATGCATGCATACATATTCATATGTGTAATTTCTATACTCCTAGGCTATACAAGATTACCTCATATTGACATAGGAAAACTAACCTAGTTTTCACTGAAACTAACATCATATTAAGAAGTAACCATACAGTGCCTAAATACCACATGGAATTACAAAGCTAAATTCAGCCATAATTAGCAAATGATCATCATCTACAAAAACAACACCGTTCAAAATTAAAACTAAATTGAAATCACAAATAGAAATTAATCGATTTCCAACCAAACTTCGGGACAATAAATCACTTAGACGACGATCAACAAGCGAAACCATCACCAATCAATTAAAACTACATTGCTCCGCATTATATAAACAAATATAACTCAAACGAGCTTCGAAAACACAGAAAATGATCGCTGGTAGAATAAAAAAACAGCGTAAAATTGGAAAAAAAAAATTGGTACCTGGTTGTAAGGCATGGTCGAATGCGAGGGAGAAATGGAAGAGGAGAAAGAGAGCGAGAGAAAGCGAGGTTTGGCTGTGTATGCGTACGAAGGAGAGGAGGACCTGAGAAAGAGGAAGGTTCCGGAAACGAGGGCTGGAGACGAAGACGATAAGGCAGGAGGGAGAGCGAGAGCATAGATGATTTTCTGTAACGCCCACATTCAATCGCTACTGTCGACGTGCAACCCTCTACGCTTGTATTTTTATATGAGAGAGAGAGAATGTGGGTGAGTCACCAAGTGGAAGAGACACACGGCGGATTCTGGAGGTTTTTTTTTTTTGGTCAACAGGTTCTGGAGGTTGCTGCACTGGGGTTTTGTGTGTTATAAACCTTGGAAGTAGGAACAAGCGGCGACCGGGTTCAGGGGAGAGAGAGGTGCTCTGGAGTCCAATTCTCCTAGTTTTCCTTTTCCCTGTACCTCCCTCCTACTTATCTACTTTCTTGACACTTGTCCCTTCTATGTTAACCATTTTAATAAAATTAAACTAAAAACAAAAACCAATTATAAAAAATAAAATAAAAACAATAACCAATTATAAAAATAAAAAGAATAATGCTACATTTGTATACCACATCTTGCTGGACAGCTACATCAATTAAAATTATTTAATATTTTCTTTTCTTTTATGATTTATTCCAATATTTGTATTTCTAATTGCCTTAATTAAAATACACTTTTTTGATTTAATTGACGTGACATTTAATATGGACATGCCATATCATATGGTATAGAAATGTGATATAAAAATGTGGTAAAACATTACTCAAATAAAAATAAAAACAAAAACCAACAGCCACCACTGCCCCACCCAAACTGGTGGTCAGCCAACCCACTCATCCAACTTGGTCAGCCACCTCACCTAGCTGGAGGAGAATGGTTGTCACCGAAGAGGTTCATGCTCGCACATACATTTGAGACATTTGAGTTTACACCCATGAATTCTCGAACTTAGAAATCCAATCAAAGCAAAGCTCAAGCCTTTATCCAGATATTCATGGCTGCCTCGAAGATATCTTCGTGCATAGCAATGGCGGTCGCCAATGCGGCTTTCATGCACGCACCTACGCTGACTCTTCCTTATGTTTTAATCCATATTTTCATCTTTTTCTCCTTCCGCTACGCCAATGAACCAGAGCTAAAAGGCTAGTTCCACCACAAGGGGCAAGGGCAGGCAAAAGGGAGCCCCCGGGCCCAAAAAACCCCTTCAACATGCAAGATCCAGCTCGGGCAAGGGGTGGGACCCACCACCCCGAGCAAGCCCACGACTAAGAATCGCCTGGGCTATTGCCCGAAGGCTGCTGATGTCAGCAATTGAAATCAAAAATTTTCTTACTATTGGTTCGTGGAATGCGCGAGGTAAATTTTTTTTGAATTTCTTGAGCTAACGTCAATGCTGACCCACAGCTGCCAGAAACCAACGGCTACAAGCCATGTAGCTTCTTTTGGAGCCTATGATCTAAAAATCTTATCCAATCCAACGACTGTCCATTTTTTAGCTAAAAAAATTGTAAAAAAAATGAAAAAAAATTTGAATTTTTTTTTCTACAAATACCTACCAATATTATTTACCTTCCACACCAAATATTCATACAAATTCATCTCCTTTCAATATTTTTCACTTTCCAAGCCGAATTTTCTACTATAAAATTTTATTTGTGTAAAAATACAAATGACCTCCTCCATCAAAGTCTGAAGGTCGTAGACAAATGTTCGAAGTCGTCAAAATCTTGACGACAAGGTAACAAATTTTTTTTTTGCCATTTTATTCAATTTAATGTTTTTTACATATATATTATATTTCTTGCATTTCCAATTTCATTTTTTTAATAGATTATTCAAGGCAAAAAAAAAGAAGAGGAAAACCATTACACATGGCTCCTTAAGTGAATAATGCCCGCAAACAGTTTCAGTGGTGTATTCCGTGTCAGAAATAATGGCACTATTACTTCCTCCAAAAGAAAATACTCCCCCACGTCGTAATCCGGTGGAACCGCCTCCGCCAATGATTGAGTTGTCCTTGTACTCGATTATGTTTGACTTTAAGGATCGAGAGTATTTCAATTGTATGATGAGTGAGTAGGTATTTCAATTGTATGATGAATGAGATATGAATTTTATAATAAATATGGACACGTGGCAACCGAAAATCTGATCCTAAAATTTAATTTGAAAATCTTTTACGAAAATTTTATCTGAAATTTGAGATGAGAATTTTACAATAAATAGTGACACGTGGCAACCAAAAATCTTATGAAAATTAATGGTTTAAGTATAAAAAATATAAAATAAATTAAAGCTAATAGTAATTGCCCTTATCCTTTGAGGTGGAAACAAAAAAGGCCAGGGCTGCCACTATTCACATGAATAGTGACAAACCTTGCCTTGTCCTTACCATTTGGGGTGGAAGTGCTCTAATGCAAAATTGAAGCCTGAAGGTGAAGAGCCCAGAGGGTTGGGATGGATCTTGAGGCTTTAGAACGAGCTGCTTAGAGGTTCGGGGTTGGGGGTGGGGCGTACTTGGCCAAAATAACTCTACTAATTAATTAATTAATTAGGGTTAAGTTTGCCTAGGTGGCACCTATGTGTTCGTTCTTTGCTGACATGGACAAAATGTTTACCCCATATGGCCAAATAACATAAAAATATATAATGAATTTAAAAGAAACAAAAATAAAAAATACATAAAATTTAAAACGAAATTCAAAACGATCTAGATGTAGAGAAATTCGACTAAATGCACGGTAAATGTAAAGGCTCGCAAACTGTCAAGCCCATTATGACCATACGTGAAGCGCAAAATAACCCAAATATGATTAGTAGGGTCACATAAGAGATGTTATTTCTTTGCGTGAAGTGGCATCAATCACCAAACTCAATCAATAATTGAAAATCAGAATGATTGGATTTCTTTGTATATTTTTGTTCTGGACAACACTTACCCCAAAGGTCATGCTCCACCGGGGAACCCCTATAACAGCTCAAAACTTTTTTTGATTTATTTTGTTCTGAGATAAACAGCTCAAAACTTTAAACAAGAGAACTAACATGATGTTTAACTTTTCTTTTTATTTTTATTTTTTTTCCCTTTCTTTGTTTTTTTCCACACTACAAGTAACGTAGCGACCTATGGTATATACATTGTACCTCTGACGTAAACTTGGAATAAATCATGTCTCAGCCTGTGCCGGAACAGAATCACCAAGTGCTACTTCTTCCTGTTCTTCAGTATTACCTTCAAGAGTACTTTGATCCACTTCTATTGTAATGTCCAGTGGCCCTTGTGGTGTTCCAAAGAGTGTAGTGAATATCTGTCGATGGCATTCATCACAGAAGTAGATATAGGTGAAATGGCCCTCGTATGGGAGCTTATGTACTGCAACTCCTGGTAAAATCCGGTGCACGAAATCAGTCATTGACGGTGGGACCACCTTATCATCCATCCCCTGTCAAACATTGGAGGAAAATGGTCTTAATTAATATCTTATTTCACAGAAAATTGATACCTCAGATAAGCAATAATAAAGGCCTGTGTGTAATTTGACTGAAGCCATTTACTGCTTTGAGATTCGTTGTGGTTACAAGGAAACTATCTCCAGCAATATGTCTAAGAGTATGTTAGCAGAAATCTGTTCTTGACGAACTTAGCGAAAGTTGTGTAACGTTTTAAATTAGAGGGGAAGAAACTCAATCAGAATAATCCCTGTCAAATGGCTGATTTTGGTTTTTCTACAATTCTACTCAACATTTAACCTGGTCTTCTTGCAAAATATTGCAAGTATCTTAGCAGTAAATAATTGATTAGCTGAAACAAACATGTTACAATGGAGATGCTTCTGACCTGCCATATGTGTATAGGGCCAAGGAAGCCAATGTATTCCTCCTGAGCTGCGCTGAGCAGAGACTTAAGCCAATTGAGCATGCCTTTCCCCTGTTGTTTCTTCTGCAATTTCAGGTCTGCAAGGCTGAAACCCCAGTTTGACACTTGCAAAACAGCTTCCTCCACAAACGGTTTCACATTTCCCTGCCTAATTGATTCTTCCAAATCCCTTTGCCAGAACTCTTCATAGATTGGGTCCTCAATTAAAGCTTTGTCCTGGAGAATCTCAGCAACAACAAAAACATTCAATGAGAATTCAAAGGTTAAATAATAGTCTCATTGTGATCATTCAATGATTCCAAAAGTAAAACACAGAGAAACGAGAGCTAAACTATGGAATTAGAATGACATGCGAACCAAGCTTCTAACAAATTATCTATGCATTATATTCCAGATCTACCAGGAGAAGATGTTTTAAAAAAAATTTGGATGAACAACTGTAGAGGAACTTTGGTACATTTTTAGAATACTGCACTGCGACGTGTGAGAGATCAACCTTGATATTATTTCTTCATTGTTACAAGAGAAGACCTCCAAGATCAGATTACGTGTCCATATACATAGTTACATATAAGAGGAACTTATGAGTTGGTGTAATAATTTAAAATCTAGTTGCCAAATTTCCAAATGTTCCAATCTGTAAACAGAATGATGATAATGTCCTCACCCTCCTTCCCAGTGACAATGACAGCCATTTATCAATTTGGCCATGCTTTCCAGATAAGAAGCTTCTGTGATAGAAGTACGAAAGAAATCTAGGAAACCTCCTAGCTAAAAAGTACAAAAATTTTCTGCTTCGCGCCCACTTCTCCCAGGTTCTATGTCTCTCTTCCCTAGTCATGATTGAATCATATGGATTAACCATTGGAGCAAACATGGCAGCACCTGCAAGTTAGACCGCTATGGATCATGAAAAAATGCTTTTGGACAAAATACAGCAGAGATCCTAATTTCCTCCAAAATATTTTATTCATTACACAGTACACGAGAGGCATCAAAATTTTGTTACCAGATAAAATTCTAAATGATCATAAAATCTTGTAGAACACACCTATAAGTTTAATCAACATGAAATATCGGTTTAATCAAAGACTTATCATCCATATAGGAATTGACTTCTTGCTAGATCAGGCTATTAGATGTTAATGTTGGTTACAAAAACCTAGCAACATCTCACCCAGGTAAACGTAGAAATCTTCAAGCTATTACTTCTTGCATGAAAATCATAAATTTCAGGCTACATTGCAAAACTCAAGGTCATTACCATAATAAATAGTACTTGAGATGAGACTACCAGCACAGATATTCCTTCGAAGCGATGACACTCGAAGAATCAAAGTACAGTGTGCCCATATTTTTACCTCTTCTTTGCTAATTTTTTATTTTTTTTGGAAACATTTGCAGTACTTGGAAAAAAGCGTTGTCATAGAAACATTGTATAGAAGAGAGACATTGATACCTGCAAGTCTATCAGGAATGTATCTGAGTGCTGCCCAGGCATGCATGCTTCCGCTCGAGTATCCCACAACCCAAAACTTGTCATTAATACCAACAGCATCAGCTAAGAGCAACATATCTATTGCTGAAGATTCGAGATTTCTGTTGGGATGAGGATCACTCTCTCCAAAACCAGGAAGATCATATGACAATAAGCGAACGCCAAACTCTTCCAATAGAGAAGCCTTAAGTCCAGGTATTCCTAATTTTCAAAAGAATGATACAAACAAAACTAAGAAAGTGCATTGTGCATTAAACAAAAAAGGTAGTGAAGTAGATAAACATCTAAAATATAGGACCTGCAAGCCGGGATGATAGGAAAGAATGTGGAGCAATGATTGAAAATCTAGCTCTGTCTGCTAGAACACCTTGCTCCTTGTATGCTATGTATCTTCCATCTGGAAGCATTATGCGAGCAGCACTGGGAGGATGAATGTATATCTTCTTTATCTCAGGGGTGGGAGTGGAAACACTACCTTCGCTATTCACATACAATGCTGGAAATTTGTAAACCCATGTCAGCAAGAGGCATACTTATTTTAAAGACCCAATTATACTTGGGAAATAAAACACAACAATAAACAAAAAAGATCTCATGAATAATCTGACTAACAGGAGCACGCATTCTACATGTAAGAATGGTGGAAATGAAATTTCAAGTTTCAAATGTTAAAATTAAAATATTTGTACTAAAGTTAATTGGGTATGATAAATTTTGACCACTTTGAGACCAGATATGTTGTATGAAGCTTTTCGCAGAACATTTCCAAGATTTCCAAAATATTATGTTTGGTTGTCGAGAAAGGAATTAGATCATGTAGTTTTCAAGGATCCATTTGTAAGCTAAAACGAGTCCAGAAAACTGAATAAATAAAAATCGTGAACAGTGAAATTTAAAGTCCTATTTCCTTCATTTTCTCATCAACCAAACACAAGAAAACGTTTCGAAAAACAGAACAAAAACTTGAGTCACACCTTTTCTGCTGAAACATTTTAATGTCCCAAAAATTTTCAGATTTACCAAAATTTCAAAACGCATAACAAGCATAACCTATAAATAAATAAATAAACTATTAGTCCTGAAGTTTCTCAGCAACCAAACAGAGCATAAATTATAAACTACCGCAAAAGCTCGTTTCTTTCCGCCCACATTTTCTCACCAACCAAACACAACACATCAAACCACACACACACTCTCACGCACCTGCAAAAGCAAGAAACGAGACGAACACAATCACAGACCAAGCATGAAGCGGCTCCTTATCTTCAGGCAAATACTCGTTGATGAACCTCAATTTCCCGCGAAGTCGCGTCACTATCTTCCCCAAGTACGAGTCCCTGACCTTCCCGAAGCTTCTGACCAATACAGAGTCGCGATTCCCTAGGCTCTGCCGCACTATATCCCTGCACCCTTTCCCGAACTCCACGGCCATCTCCGCCGCCGCTTTTGAAAACTCCCGCACAAGTCCTCCCACCGTCTCCGGCGGCACCGGCTCGCTCGCATTGGCACCCACAACCCCCGGAACGACGCCGTACGCTGCTCTCTCCGTGTTGCTGTTGCTGTTTAGAAGATCGTCGGGTCGCCATGGCCTGGGCCGACCCGCAAAGAACTCGGGTCCAGAATCCGGCCCCGACATAAAGACAGCAATTGTGGCGAACAAAGAAAACGGAAAATTAAGAGTTGAAAAGAGCGTGGAGTGATTTTTATTACATTGAAGAAGAAAAATTTAAGAAAAAGGAAATGTGGGAGAAAATGAGGTCTGGACTAAAAGGTTGACAAAGAAAGAGTG